ATGTAAGTGCTATTAATATGCATGCTCAGACAAAAAAATAGGCACATACATAGGAGGTTTAGAACCCTCATTTTTAGTTTCTCTAGTCTGTGCCAATACACTACAATTCTAAGATATTTCCTGTGTAATTGCTGAAGAAGTGGAAAAAATACTGGAAACTCTTCTGTATTATGTTTGCATTGTGGTATCACTGTCTGGAATTCCTGTCTCCTGTGAAATACTTGATGTAGTGCAGAGTTAAGACTGGAAAAGCTTGACAGTGTTTACAGTTAGAGATTGCTAATACATATGAACATGTAACAAAACACATGTTTTTTGTAGGCAAAAAACTAAATGTGAGGCAACCTGCACTGGACAACTAATGTTGAACTCTTGTGTATTATATATACAGGGTACGATGAAGAAGTAGAAGTACAGAAGGGACTTGGGGAAAAAATGTAGCTTACTTCTAGCACTGGATTTTATTTTTTTCATTGAAAATTCAAGTTGTTTTTACCAATCAGTTTTCCAGATCATATTGTTCCCTGTCTGGTACTTGAGTTGTAATCAGTTACAGTTGCAGTTTTATTTCTGCAGTCAACACTCGGAGATATTGCTGCTGATGGTGTTTGTTCATTTACTTATTCAAGTGGGATGCTTCTCGTTAACCCCTGCATCACTTAGTGTAGGAAAGGACATAAGTGGTGCCAGCAGAGTACAGGAAAGATATTGGAGTTCCCGAAGCTCCTTGTGAGCATGTCAGGCTTCTCTGAAAATACTGAGTGATTTCATGATTAAAATGAGAGCTGACATTCAGTGCAGATGAATGCCAGGCATTGAGGAGGGGACAAAACAGGCTTACATACCAAATTGTGCCTGTAGAAAACATAAAACAGTAACTGGTTCCTGGCTATGTGTTGCTGCTCAGGGAAAGGGCATTGGATTTGTTTTGGATAGTTCTCTGCAAGCATCTGTTTGGCCATAGTTTAAAAAAAACCCACAAAATCCATATTCAATATTGTGTCCTATTTTGGGCCCTGTTCCAAGACTTAGTAGAAGAGGGAGAAGCATGGAGAAGAATGGCAGACTTGGACTGGCTTCTGTAAGAAGGGAAATAAAATTGGGGCTAGTCAATCTGAAGAAGGGCAGTGATGAAAGGAATGAAGAAAGTCAACATGTATGTTCCAGAACTTGCTGCCAAGAAATACTTTGGAAGACAAACCTGTAGTGGTTTCAAAAGTAAATTGGACAATCCCGTGGAGAAGAAGATTTTAATTACATGGGGTTTAGTGCAGCCTATGGTTCTGGGCATGCAAATTTTAGTAATTGATAAGTTTCTGGCTGCTGGAGTTAAAGAAAATACTCAGACAGTATTGTTCACACCTCTCATGTTCTTGTGCTTGTTCCTTAGGCATCTATGCTAAATTTTCAGAGACCACATACTCTGTCAGTCAGACCTTAAATTAGAGCACCGACACATATGTACCCGAAAAGAAGCATGCAAAAGAAGCTTGGCTAGTTTTAGACTGTCTCTTCGGATGTATCCCCAGTATTGTCACAGGAAGGGGAGTATTTGTATTCAAAGTTTGATACGTAAGCTAAACTGAACTTCTCAGTAGCAGTAAGGCATGAATATCTTAGAGAGATGCTTGGGATTTTAATTTTGGATTGTTGTGAAGTGAGTGCAACTTGTGTTTTTAACAAAAACACCTTTGTTCTGCCCCTTTCCCAAAACTGGTATTTTGTGTCTGTCTTCCTTTGGATAAGACCAGCTCCTTTCTTATCTGTTGCTCATAGCTTTAGGGGTTTTTTCCCTCCAAGGGCAGTTGCATGAAATTGCTGACTGTTACCAGGTTTTGGCCAGCAGCTGCAAAACAAAGTACTCCTCCTGACTTCCTTTTGCATCTATACAGTGAAGCTTTGGCTTAGTCCAGTAGTTCTGTCTTCAGCTCTGAGAACATGTTAATAATTTGCAGGTGACAAAGTTTTTATATAACTATAAGCAGTTTGTTTACACCTTAAACAAACAGTTCTTCATTAGTTGGCAATATCCATGGTAAACTGTCGTTTTTTCCAAGTCCTTACTTATTTTTGGAAGCTCAGTTTGAAAGGAGAGGACTGTGGTGTTTTATCTTTGTTATGCTATCTCCATTAATGTCTTAAAATGTAGAACTGCTTTTGGTTTGTTACAAAACTGTTCTAAAATATTAAAATATAGCTGAAATTATCCTGAAGATAAGTAACCTTAATGTAAAGTTTTCATGTGATGAAATCTCTGGCAATACAGTTAACTCTCAATTGAACTTTATTTTTGTCCCTATTTGCTGTACTGCGTGTTCAAGACTGAGCATCAAAACCACCTTTGGCTATGTACTTACAAAATGAAATACTGGTTTATGTTGAGTTGTCCCTTTGCTTCCGAGGACCAAATGCCAAGAGAAAGAGCCCCGTGTGCTGTCAAGTATGCAGGGTCCCAAACTTCCATCGGTAATGACAAATGTTAACGTGTTTTAACCCTTTTGGTGCCATATCCTGTTCTGTACTGGCTGGCTGAGACTCCTTGTGCAGAATTATGGTTTCTAAAGCTGACAGATTTTTTTTTTATTCCAGTCTGAGTATCCTAGAAGTGTATTTACATGATTGGAAAGAGGAGATTTCTGCCTCTGAACTGCAGCTGTCCCTTGCTTGTGGTTTGAAAGAAACTCCAAACTATTGATTAAGTGTAGACAGAGTTTATATAAAAAAGCAGGTCTCTTGCTAGTTCAGTAAGCATGAAAATTGGCCTGTGGCGTTTACATCTTGATCTTTCTTGACAGAAATTTTGTCTCTCAAAGTATATAATCATTGTCTCTTGCATCTCAAAAGCGATTTTCTCGTATTTGAGTATATCTTTGGAAGAATGAGCTGTGTGAAAATAGAGGCTCAAAGGTCTTGAACAAGTTTACTGACTCTTTGGCTTAGTCTAGTCTATCCTGCTCTCCCAATTCTCCATGTTTTTCACTGTGGCTAAGACAAAAGACATAAAAGACTCGGATCAGGGTTTAAAAATCAGAGGTGATTTCAGTTGTTTTAATACACATTTCCTATGGAAAACCAAGCCAGTGATACCATTTCATCTTGTGTTCCTAAGGAAGTATGGGGCAGCATTGGTGTTCCTGCAAATTCCCTTTCAAGAGAATTCTTTTAAAGGAATGTAATTTCCATAATATGGTTTACAAGGGAAAAAAAATTAAAAGCATTCCTCATCAGCTTCATATTTAGTATACACCAAATTTTTTATTCATTCTGCTAGAATGAAAAAAAATAAGCAATGGAAAATTTGGGAATAAATGTGAATTTTTTGTGGCAATACAAAATACTAATTTTCCATTTCTTTTTCTTCATCTATTTCTAAAACTTACCACAAACTGAATCCAATTTCTTACCCTTGGCTTTAAACTAAAAAATTCTGAGATATCTTTAACTTCTTCACAAAAAAGCAAGATGGTGAGAGGATTAAATCACTAATACAACAAGAAGGACCTTAAAAAGTAGAATAATTTTTTATTACTGTATAGATCCTTAAACAGACAACTTGCTTAATTAATTATAAAGGATTTATAATAAAATATTTACTTTAAAATATTTGCTATAAAAACTTCATTATATCCAGAGACAACTTTTGCAATATAAATAGAAAAATGTATAGTGTTCTAAATTTTAATTAAATTTAGTCTCTTCTCTTATTGTCTCTCTCACACTTCTTGTGAGTCAATGTAAACAGCACTTGAATACAGTGGAAATGTCAAGATATTGGATATTCCAGTTGCTTAAGTGAACCTCTTTAATGTTTTCATTGGACCCACAAGTATTTCAAGTATGTTGTAGTTAAAACAAAAATTTGAAATAATTTAATTTTAAAATATAACTTCTTCAGAAAGATGATGACAAATTACAATAACAGTTAATAACTTACTTATACATGATTTAACTCTACTTCTTAAGACACTGTATGCATGATGTTCTGAAGTACCTGTTAGTGAGATAAGGGCAGTGGCTTTCCAGAAGACTTTAGTCTCGGGGCTCAATTTTCAGGAAAAATCTTTCAGAACTTTACTGTCTTGGACTCTAACACACTTTCCTAAAATTTTTACCCCTCCTTGTCCTATGCACACTCCATTACTTTAGTATGACAAATTCTGTGGAGATTTTGCACAGGCACCTAAACATACAGAAGTATTATACATCCAGTATGTTCTTGTATATTCTCCATTTGGTATTATGTGGACTACAGAAAAACCTGCCCCTTCTGTGACATGAGGAATGGCCTTTTTACTTGCATGCCTTCAAACTATCTCTGTGTAAGAGACTGGGAATAAGACCAGCAAAACTTAATTGTCTATTTACCAATTCCAATAGCAAAAAATGTTTAACATGAGAAAGATCTCATTGTGTGTGAATCGATTAAAATATGCATCACTGAATGGGTCTTGTGCTCCTCTCAGAGAAGTATAGTCTGCATTTCTTCATTTCCATTTTTCTTTAAAGACTATTACGCTTTTTATGATCTTGTCAGTCAAGTTCATTACTTGGTTTATTCTAAGTGTCTTTTTCTTTATAATAACTTCTGATGTTTGAAAGAAAAGGCTTTTGTTTTCTCTTAGTGATGGTGATGCTGTTAAATGACTTTGAAAAGTAGGAAAGGGAGAAAGCAGACCGTTAACCTACTGAAGCACACCGGTGTTAGGAACATTAAATACACCTTTCTCCCCTTCTGAAAATAGGTATATGACAGCTGGCCTGTTTGGCTTATTCTAATGGTATATTCTCAAAATGATAAAATTAATGTCTTGCATCCCTTTGTCACTTCTGTGCGCAGTGTGTCTTTCGGTAACTTGCAGGAGACTGAGTTTCATAATTACTGCGTGTTAATATGAGTTTCATATTAAGAAATTATGCATGAATTATGTTTTCATGTTAATAGGTATTTTGAGATGGGTGAGCTAATCAAGTGTAATTGTACTTGCTTAAACTATTTCCAGGTACACCCACCTTTATGGAAGCATTAGCAGCCAATGGTACAACCAACATCCAGACATCTGTAACAGGAGTGACAGCCAGCAAACGAAGGTTTATTGATGACAGGAGAGATCAACCCTTTGATAAAAGGCTACGTTTCAGTGTGAGACAAACGGAGAGCGCGTACCGGTACAGAGACATTGTTGTCAGGAAACAGGATGGATTCACACACATTTTGCTATCAACAAAATCATCTGAAAATAATTCATTAAATCCAGAGGTTAGAACAATTCTGATTTTGGGAGGGGAATTTGAAGTCCTAGTCTCATTTCTGCTTGTTACTCAGGCACAAACGTAATACATAATACAGTATTATGTATTGCAACGTATTGTAGATTATGTAGAGCAGCACTAACATAATACAGGTTCTTACTTGCAAGATGTTGTATGTACAGTTTACTTTATGTGTAATTCACTTGCATTTAAAGACCCTGTTATCCAGCCATGTTGATGTGTACTGTCTTATAAGATGTGCAGTGATTTACGAAGTGCAACTTGAAAAAATCTTTAACCTCAATTAAGGTTCTTTTTTTTCTGTATTGGTTGCATATGCCATCTGCTGTCCAAATTACAGAAATGCTGAATGAGTGCTTTAGTTACAGATAACATCTAATAGATCTTTCCATAATGATTTAATTATCTTTGTCTAATTACATTTTTTAAATGCAAAGCTTCTAATACATTAACTTCCCTTTTTTTGAATAATGAAGAAAGTTAACTTTTCTAATAAGATGGTTGAGTGGATCCTAAGGAAAAATTAAACATGTTGAAGAGTCCCATAGGGGGAGGAAGGGAAGAGAACAACATGCTACTTTGTAATGATGGATTAAAATGATTCTTATGAAATTTTTATTTTTCAGGTTATGAAGGAAGTCCAAAGTGCACTGAACACAGCAGCTGCAGATGACAGTAAACTTGTGCTGTTCAGTGCAGTTGGTAGCATTTTCTGCTGTGGTCTTGATTTTATTTATTTTATACGACGTTTAACGGATGATAGAAAAAAGGAAAGCACTAAGATGGCAGAAGCTATTAGGTATGTATGACTGTCTTCAGTCATCTGATGGGTATTATTCAGCATGTGGCCTGGCTTGTTCTGTCTTTATTTTAAAAGCCTCCTGTTCAAAAAGATGTCAGACATTGACCTGTTGCATTATAGCGTGCAGCACTTCTTTATGCTCCCTGTCTTTTTCTATTTGGGTGGTCATTTCCTGCATTTTTAATTTTAAAATTTAACGATGAAAACTGGGAGTACTGTAATACACCTCCAGTTAAAACCAGTATTTAAAATACTTCAATAGCCATCGAATTTCAGGAAAACCAATTTAATACACCAAAATTCAAGATGAGTATTGAATGAGTAAATTGATACAGTATGTTCGAAGAAGTGGAATGATGGATATTTTAGAGGAGTAGATTAATACTGGTGATCATCATCACAATGCTAGGTACCAAACCTAATTCATTAATTAAACAAAATGAGCTGAACTACTACCACGTAGAAGGAAATACATGGAAAAAAAAATACGGATCTTGGAGACACATTTTAACACTACAAACAAGTACATTTGAGCACTGGTTTTGAGATCCTGGTCTCTTGCATTCTTCCAAAGTATCTATATATCTTTCAGAGCCCTTCTTCTGTTGTTGCTATCAAGCGGTCATTCTAAAACATTGTGTTATCAGTGGTGTTTCTAAAAAAAGGCCATGGACATGTGAAGCCTGTTTCATTGGAGACACAGTTGGTTTGTAAAGATGGTTATAGTTATTTTTATCACAGGAAATTCTTCAATCATTTCATATAAAAGTTGCTTATGCAGTGACTTCAGATATGGCCAGAAGCTCTTAGCAGTGAGCTTCTATCACTATTTTAATTTGGGCCTTTCCAGAAACCTGTTTTTTCACCTAATATTCATTGTTAATAAAATGGGCGAAGGTGACTTAAAAGACTTATGAATACACACCATCCCTCTCAAATAAGGTATTTTTCATATATATTCTAGAGATGGCCCTCTCTGGGATATTCAGACGTTACTAAAATTATCTAAAGTCTCTGGATGGGATGTTTGTATAATGACTTGCATGAGATAATTCCAGGTTTAGATTTGGTTTCTCTGCATTTAGCTATTTCAGCTCACTAGAATGAGTTAAGAAGGGGTGTGATAACCTTTAGTGCTGAATACCATATAATAAAATTGTCCTGTTTTGCAGAAATACAAAAATGTAACACAGATAGGGAGCAAACTTTAAAATTACCTGTGTATGTTTTCATACATGCGTGGCTGTTTTTTTCCTAAGAGGCTCTTGGAGTTAGCTACTGTTTGAGAACAGAGGAGCATCCATATTTTGTGGGTACTGGAATGAATTGTCATTTTTTGTTGTCAGTGAGGATGATAATATGCATATATTATAGCATAGTACCCAGAACATTATTACCAACCAAAAGAAGGGAGATGAGATGGGGAAGTTAACTGGTGTGTGATATGAGATGATAGAGCTCTACTATTCATGTTCATAATTTTAAAAAGCAGATTTATTTGTTAAGATAAGCTCCTTAATGACGATCAATAATGATTTGCCCATTATAGTTTATACCTTATTACTGTCACTTAAAAACACAGGGAATTACCTTATGCCAATGCCATACATCAGTACAGTGAGGACCAAGCAGGGCCGTGCCACAGTTGTGGTGCCCAGAGGTGAGCAAAGGCCGCAGCCTTATCTGAGAGCTGTGGGACACACGAATGTACTGAAGTGCTGTATCAGCTGATGCTTGTAGAGGGGTGTGAAATCTGTACCTGTCCAACTACTGTGATGTATAGGGCTGGGAGCAGTGCTAGGCTTTTACTGAATCAGAAAATGGTTGAGGTTGGAAGGGACATTTGCAGGGCGTCTTGTTCAGTGTGCTCAAGCAAGGTCACCTAGAGCAGGTTGGCCAGGACCATTTCCTGGTTTTTTTTTCAGTCTACCAAGACAGAGTCCATGACTTTGTTGGCTGCCTGTTTGGTCATCCTCACAGTAAAAAAGTGTTTCCTGCTGTTCAGAGGGAGCCTCCCATGTTTCAGTTTGTGCCCACTGCCTCAGTGGGCACCACTGGCTCTGTCCTCTTTGCACTGCCTTTCAGGTACTTTTACACATTGATGACATCCCCCTGAGCCTTCTTTTCTCCAGGCTGAGCGGGCCCAGCTTACTTAGTCCCTGGGTTACCATCACTAGACCATCTGGAGTCTCCCTTTTATTGAGAAGTCCATAATGACACTAGGGCTTAGGAGAGGGGCAGGATCAACTCCTGCAACCTCCAGACAGCATTCTTCATAAAGCAGCACAGGATAGCACGGGCACACTGCTGGCTCAAGTTCAACTCTGCTGGGACCCCTAGCTCAATTTCTGCCAAGCTGCTTTCCAGCTTGTCTTCCAGCATATATTGATGCCTGGGGTTGCTCCTCCCCAGGCACAATGCTTTGCACTTCCCGTGTTGAGCTTTAGGAGGTTCCTGTCAGCTCATTTCTCCAGCCTGTCAAGGTCCCTCTGGATGGCAGCACAATCTTCTGGTGTATCAGCCTGGTTTTGTATCCTGAGCAAACTTAATGAGGATACACTGAGTCCCATCAAACAAATCATCAGTGAAGCCGTTGAACAGTGCTGGACCCATCACTGACCCTGTCGGGTGCCACACTTAAATCACTGGCCTGTGCCATGAGTCACCACCCTCTGGGCCAGCCATTCCGACATGTTTCAGTCCACCTCACTGTCTGCTCATCCAGCTCATACATCGACAGCTTGACTATGAAACTCTTATGAGAGGCAGTGCTGAAATCCTAACTCTGAGCTCTGTGTAGACAATATCCACATCTCTCCCCTCATCCACCGAATAACCACCTCATTGTGGAAGGTTATCAGGTTGGTTTTGAAAGTGATGTTACTGTGGAGATGAATTACTATGGAGTTTTCAAGGGCTGGTATATTTTACACTCTCAGTATATGTAGTGAGCACATGTTTCTGTTTCTCTTCAGGAATTTTGTGAATACTTTTATTCAGTTTAAGAAGCCTATCATTGTAGCAGTAAATGGCCCAGCCATTGGACTTGGAGCATCTATATTGCCTCTGTGTGACGTGGTTTGGGCCAACGAGAAGGCCTGGTTTCAGACACCATACACTACTTTTGGACAAAGTCCAGATGGATGTTCGTCCCTTACATTCCCTCGGATAATGGGCCTGGCTTCTGTAAGTAGCTTGCAGGGTAGGAGCTGACAGCTTCACAATTCAGTTGGGATAATTTATCCAGTGTGATTTCAAGACTTTTTGCCTTCCTGTGTTGTCTTGTTTTTAATTTTTTTCTTTCTCTCATGAAAACCTTTCATGAGAAGCCACCCTTTATAGCTTTTCTGCTCCATGCTCTTACAACTTACTTTTCACTTGCATGCACGGAACAGAAAGCAGGTACGGGACTTAATCCCACCTTTGACCCCTGATGGTGTCAGAAGGGTCACGTCCTTTGTACCAAGACACACCTCCCCTGGTGCTGCCTTCTGGGACCAGCCACAGGTGTCTTGCATTTGGCACAGCACCAGTGTGGCACTCAGTGTCACTACACAGCAGAGTACTGTGACACCAGCCAGAAGCAGTCTTAAGCCACTATGCAAAATAACTATTTCAGCTTCCATGCACTCCTAACAAAAAGCTATTAAAGAATCTATTGCCTACGTTGTTTTCATGTTGCTTAGTGTTTTTTCATGCTGTGTTCTTTGAAAACTTAGACCTATGTCCCATTCCAGTTTGGACAGTATGAAACAAGTGCTTGTTTTCCAGAATTGCTGTTTATTATAAAAGCCATTCTTTCCCTGTAGGTATTTATTGATTTAAAAATATATATTTCAGTATATTAAAACACCAGTTTTAAAAGATCTAATAGCTAATGGTGTCATATTTGGATTTAGTTACTAGAAGAGAACAGAAAAGGTAACTGAAATAGATTAATAGTTATAAGAGTATCTTTAATATCTTAGCATGTTTCAAACTACTGATTGTTCCTTTCCCTTTTTATTTGGCCATCCATCCATTCATCCATCCATTCCATTCATCCTCGTCCTCTAAAGACTTGTGGTTGTTACTTTTCATTTCTTTAGAAGTTGTACAAAAAACACAAGAAGCTCTTCCCTAGTGTACTCTTTCATGTGTGTTTGTGAATGCTCTCATTCTTAAATATAAAGATTTAAATTGAAAGCTTCCAGTGGTAACAATTCCAAAATGATCAGTCCAAAAAGGGGAAAAAGTCCACTGTTTTTGTACTGTCCTTGACTCTCTGGAGCATAGCAGTGTCTCTATGGGACAAAGCTGAACTTTACTCAGCACATTCGTGAAATATGGTCAGAATCCCTACTGAAGACTTCAATAAAGAAGCATGCTTTTTTTGTCTGTCAAAGAGAAAAAGTCAGCAGGAAGATGTTATGAGTGAAATGCAAAACATTGAGGTGAAAAAAAATATACAAAACAAAGAATTAAGGCCTCCGTATGCATCATAACATTTTCTACAAATGTATCAATTCAGCAGGAGTAGTGCCACCCCTACCTCTTGTAAGTCAGTCTTACAATGCAATGTTAGCTATACCTATGTAAAAATGTCCCATTGCAAGACTGCTGGAAATATCTTCCATGTGTGGTCACCTTCTGTGGGTGAGTGGGTCTGTCATGGATGGGTTATTTTTTTTTTAACAAACATTTTCAACCGTGGGTTTATTACAGGAAATTTGAAGCCCAAACCTTAGGATCCAAAACTGATACCATCTTGGAATTTCCAAGAATTATGGAAGTGTTCCTAAACTTGGCTTTAGACTTTTGAGGAAAATATGTAATAGACGTTAAGGTGATGTCTGTATGGGGAGATGTTACTATGTGTCTGCCATAGAGCTCTTGCTCTGGTTGTCTGGTCCCAGATAAAAAGTCCCAGGAGCTGTGTGATCACACATCACACACTGGGTCTCCCTACCAGTCCCCAGCACGCTTGGCAGGATTTCTTAGCTTTTCTGTCAGTCATGAGGGAAACACAGTTCCATGGTGCCTAGGGTCCACATCTCAGCCAGGATCTGGGGCTGTTCAGAGGCCAGCTGCCTCCTGATCATAGTGCAAGAGAGCTGAGGTGCTCCATGGTCCCTGGTGCCTGTGACCTTACACAAAAGGATCCCGGTGAGCTCCAAAGCCCTCACTGGAAGAGAGTCTAGAGGTCCAAGTGAAGTTCCTCTGTGGAAGGAGACATTTTCTACTCAGAGTAGAAGATGAAGGTTGCTAATGAGAATCTTAGTAAAGTATTTTTATTGTACTCATTTCTATTGCTGTAGTCTGTTTCTTGGAAAGCAACCACCAAGTGAGTTAATTTTTACAGCAGGTACAAGGCACGATTGTGATTAAAGCTTGTTTAGCAGTTGGTCTTCAGCAGATGTTGTGTATAGATCAAAAGTGAAGATGCCAGAGCAAGCCATTTCCCTTCAAAACCTGTCAAGTGAGAACATCAATGGGAATGCTCATTTCTAGTGAGATTTTATGCTAATACTGTGTTACAGCTGGCAGAAATAAGATAACTGCACCATTCTCACTTATGGTGTTTCATGTTCAGGAGAACTCAGCAGTTGCCGAGTTTTAGAGAAAAAAAAAAGATTTTCTAGCATTCCTTTTTATCCTTGCAAAGATACATGTGAAGAATATGTAGACCTGGCCACCTGGCTTAAATGTTTGCCTATCCTAACTACTAGTTTGATTGACTTCACATTTTGATCTGTTATAGAAATGTTAAGTGTTTTTTAAATTATTTTGGAAGAATAAGTTTTCCCAACTGTGTGGGAAAAATGTTTTGTTTTTTTAGACAACCATGTGTATATCTCTGATTTTCAACTAGTATTTCAGATTATTATTATTCACATAGATTCTGGAAAATGAGAAGGAATGGTTAATGAACGTTATGTATTTGATATTGTGTTCACAGAAGGTAGAACTGTAGGATATAGAATTTGATCGTAGTGCAAGAGATTTGGGTTTTTAGAAACTAATATATGTGAATCACAGCTTTCCATAGTAACTGTGAGAGAGGTGCTGATGGCAAAATTGAAGTAAAATATCCCTGGAAACTGGTTGGGTTTTCTTCTTGCATTCCTAATGGACTGTCAGTCAGGAAGTAAGCTGCCAGTAGAACCCAGACTTGGTATTTCTTTACAAAGGAACAAATAAGAGACTGCAGAGTTTCCAAATTGTTTCATGCGTAAAATGGCAATATCAGGAACATGGTGTCACAGCAAATAATTAATTATTTATTTAGTTAATAATTATTTGAGATCCTTAATTGAAAGTTGCTGAAATAATTACCTAAATTTCCAATATTAGACAACAATAAAAACCTTAGTATTTTTCCCTCAGAAATGTTATGCTTGTCAGGTTTGTGTTTTAGAACAGCCTTATTTCCTGTACTTCAAGAATCCAGTACCGGGTTTGTCATATTTTTCAGTGGAAATAAGTCATTGTGAAACAATAACACTGATTTTTTTTTTTTTTTTTTTTTTTGAGGTTGACTGTTACTCTGACTTTTTAATTTCCACTGCCTGTTGCCATGTAAATGTCACTGCAAACAACTGCAAACTGTATAAAATATTTCACTAAAGCTAGAATTAAAGTGGCTGTAGGACAGAGCTTTAATGGGGAAAATGGTAAATAGTGAAGTGCATGATAAATTACGAATCAAAAACATTTACAGAACTAGAGAGAGCATCTTGTTGCATAGAAGGTAGTACTTGATTCTGTACCTTAAAGCATGTGCAAGATCTTAAGTACTGGGGGTTTTTAATAAGACTGCTGTATCAGATTCTGAAAGGATTTTTTAGTTAAGTATTGGACTCTTGAAGAAAATGTGAATGCTTACTTTCTATGAATTTGGTCAGAAATTGGAATACATCATTATAAAGGGCAAGCTGATGTATTCGTTGCTGTTTTACAGATTTTCTAGGCATTATAACCTAGTCCCACATACACAGATAACCAAGTCAGCAATACTGCAAGAAAGCCAGAGCTAACAAACGTTGACAGCCAGGAAATGACAAAAGACGTTTTCACATTTAACCATTGATCATAGATACCCACATTTAATAACTACTGACCTAGTACTGGTCAACAACACAGACCAACTGTAGGCCAGTATTTTTCTTTTTTTAATGAAAACTTGGAAGAGCTGTAATAAAACTATTTCAAACAGTACAGGCATTTTTCTTATTTGTTTTGAACATTTTTCCTTTGATGAGTTTTGTCTCATTACATTTCATACCAGAAGTAACTTTTTATCCCTTCAGGCCAATGAAATGTTGTTCAGTGGAAGGAAGTTGACGGCGCAGGAAGCTTGTGCCAAAGGACTCGTCTCCCAAGTGTTCTGGCCGGGAACATTCACACAGGAAGTAATGGTTCGAATTAAAGAACTTGTCACATGTAATTCAGTTGTAAGTTTCCTTTATCTTCTTGTATTTTTATGATTAGATGAGTAAGAATTAATCTAAGTAGTATCGGACTGCATCTTTTTGTGATGAAAAAAAAGTCTTTTTGCGAAACAAAACTGTATTATAGTACAACAGTGTTTTTTGACAGTTTTTTATGTATCTTTCTGGTTTGGGTTTTTTAGGATACTTTTTAAAGTTTCCATCTGATTCTTCTTAACTACAGTGTACTGTGGCATTTGATAAGGAACATAAACCAGCATTGGATTTTTATTACATAATTTGGTATTAATATAGTTGCTGAAGTCCAACTTACTGCAACCAACAGTATAAACAGTTGCCTAGCATCTGCACAGAAACACAGAAAGTTTGAGTTAGCTTGAGTTCTTATTTAAATTAAATTTGCTCTTTAACTATAAACCAACCTATGCTAAACCATGACACAAGGCAATAAATACAGTCTTTGACATTATGCTGGACTTCATTTTATTGGTAGCACGTAGTGGTTGTGTGCACTCCTGGCAGTTGCACAAGATAGCATCAAATAGTGGTAATTTTAACTTTCTTACAAGGAAAGGTACTGTACAAATTAACTGTTCTGGGCATTAGAAGTTTTGGATTTTAAAAGCAAATTATTCATTTTCTAAACAGAAAAAACAAATGAGGGCGTTTGTTTTTTTTTCCAGTGTATTTTAAGTGCTCAAGAAATCAAGATCTGCCCAGTTATTAAAGCAGTCAGGGATAATAGCGTTATATTTAGCCTTCACTACTATAAAATTGCGCTTGCCTGTAGTTACAAAACCATATATATTTATATATATTTTCATAGTTATTTTATGGTTTTCGTTATTTTCACACTTTTGTTCACTTTTAAATTGTGCTGGTATAAGGTAAAGAAAATTTTGTGGGATGCCATAAGGAAGATGACTATGAGAAACATTTCTTACAGTCATATTTATGTCCATGAATTGATTAGCTTAAGTTGATAATCAGCTCCAGGATTTGTCCATATAAAGTTGTTACATGCCCATAGAAGCACATGGGGCACTCAGTTCTCAGGCAGTACTAACCCAACTCCTCCTTTTTTAATTTTGGCCTAGGTACTTGAAGAATCCAAAGCTTTAGTACGTAACATCATGAAAGTGGACTTGGAACAAGCAAATGAAAAGGAGTGTGAAGTTCTGAAGAAAATCTGGGGCTCAGCACAAGGGATGGACTCAATGTTAAAATATCTGCAGAACAGAATTGATGAGTTCTGAAGAGATGCCCATGACACTGGAATTGTACTTCTTGGACAGCAGGGCAAGCAAAATATGCCCATTTAAAAAAACCTTATATAAACTAACCCCTTGCTCAGCTTGGGAACAGGAGTGGACACACACCCCCCTCCCCTTTTATTGTCAAGGGGTATTAAAGTACTGTATCTCTTAAATTTGAACAAAACTCCTTTCTCCCTGATTGTTACATGCAGATATATACACACACCAAGTGTATGTGTATATATCTATATATGTCTTTTTTATATATATATATATATATAAAAAATGTAATATGTGTGAGAGTGTGTATGTAGACACACACACACACAAGGTAAAAAATGATAGAGTGCACTACCAAACATCTCTTTAAAAGCTCTAGTTTTTGTTATCTTTGGCTAGTACTGTATCAAATAGAGAATTAATTAAAAAGTGAATGGTGTTGCATTATTTTCTGTGTGGCAGGGAAGTCTGGAATAATGCTTTTCTTTTTCATGAGAATACAGAATTGAAACGGGTATTAGCCAGCCCTTGCTTTCTCTGCCCAATGAGTCAGCTTAGAGAAAAGGCATTGTCTCAAAAGAAGGTTGAAATACCTCAAGTAATGGAACATTCTGAAATGTTGGGGTAACTAAGCCCTATTATGCCTAAATAACATATATCCCCAAAAAGAGAGTGTGCTCAGGATTAATACTAAGGAAACACTCTGGTATTTTTGGGGGGGGAGGTATAGAGGGGTGGGAGGAAGGGGCACAGGAGTATGTCTGATTCTTACCTAGACAGCATGAAGAAACCACTGTCTCTTAGGGAAAGGGAATGAGGGAGAGCCAGAGGGAAATGGAAGGGGAAAGGAGAAAAAAACAACACAATAAAGCTTGTTTTGCAGTATTAGTGAATCACTGAATATCTTATGTATGAATATCCTAAGTTATAAGTTAGTTTTAGTAGGTTTTTAAAAAGCCTCTGAGTTGGTTTTTTTTTATTTGTTTGTTTGTTTGGGGTTTTTTGTTTGTTTGTTTATTTTATTGGGTTTTTTTTTAATAACTACGTAAGTGCTTCTGTTGCTGGGTGAAAATACTACTTTATATACAGTTTGGGTTTTGTTTTTTGTTTTTTTTTTCATATTTGCTGGTTTAATTGATGTATTACACCAAAAATGCATTTTATGTTCATAAATTTTAGGTTCACTTAGAATATATTATTTAATAAGTTAAATTTCTTTTGGCACACTATTAAGTAAAAAAAAAAAACTTTTAAAAAAACTACCTTATATTAGATGTTTAATGTTCTTTGTCTATGCTTTTTTTATTATTTGAAATATACACTATATGCAGTATGGTGTAAAAGAGTGCCCTGTGTAAATAGACCTATTTTGCATTCCTTTCAGGAGTGGTTATTGATTCCTGACTGCAGATATCTGTTATTACTTGGGTATCTGTGCTTGCAATCTTATTGAATGTATTCTGAAGAATGAAAAAGAAATCAAACCTTATTTTTGTACAGTTTTGAACTTTTTACTTGGAACTGACCCACCTCCCCTTCCCAGTGGAGAGCTGTACAGTGTGTAAATCTGCCTTTACCTTGGATTGGTACAGTATTTTTGCATCTGTGGGACCTACTTCTTTGTTCTAGTAGTTTGAACTATATATAAACTGTACAATCTGTAAAGTTTTTATAGAATAAATATTCAGCTGTGAAAACTGGTTAAATAAAACTAATATTTCTTAACACATTCTAAATGTGGCTCTCGCACAGAGTTGTCTTTTTCAAAGACACTTCCATTCTAATTTTAAAGTTCCTGAAACAAATCTTGCTACTTAGAGGCTTTAATATTTGTATTATTTTGTTTAAAATGATCTTCATTTCCTTCAAATTAAAATTTGAATATTAATTTATTGATGTAAATTTTATAGAAGCTTTCTCTTCCAGGAAGTAAATGGGGAAAGAAGACATAGGGAGTCATTCTGCTTTTAATTATTTTGTTAGAGTTCAAACTAATGTTCAGTAAATGTTTTTTTTACAATCTCTTAAAAAAGACTGTTTTCCTTATAATAATGGGGGTTAAGTTAGAATTAATTCCTTGGTTGAATTTGATTTTAGTGAAAAGAAAAAGAGATACACAACTCATAGGTGAAGGTAATGTTCAACCTCTTAGAGTTCAATTCCTGTCTGTATAAAGATCACTTTTCTGGCACCTCTGAGGCCATAGTGTACATACATACATACATATATATGTATATATATATTTATATATAATTATATATATATAATATGTAACAGCTGGGGAATTAGTTATGCTTTCTTTAAGCATGAAAGAACTGCTACAGTGAAGACATTTAAAATTAAGTCAGTTGAAGATACAGGCAATTCAGCTGAAAAAAATAATTCTACTTCATTCATTTTTTTGTGTTGCTGTCAGGCTGTTACGCTGCCCACAGTTTGCATGACAAAATGTGAATAATTTATTGACTGTTTAAATTCCTGCCTGACTGGAAAAAGTCATTCAGGCTGCTTCCTATGCACTGTCAGTAACTAACTTGACACTATTTACAGATTATGTTCTCCTGCATAAATAGTACACATCTTTTGTTTGTACATTGGACTACAGGAATACTGTTCCTTCAGGAAAATACTGTCCCCTTCTTCTCAGTATGGATCAGTAAATATCTTTTGCTGTGTGTGAAGGTTACAGTCAAGTCTAGTTCAGTCTCTGCAAAGCCATAATAAAGACAGGAAGGTTATAGACCTCTAATAAGAAAACCTGAGAGATCATAAAAACTGACTAAAGACGTTTTTGAATTAGTGTTTTCAAGGCTTTTCTTCACAGAAGAGACTCCAGGTTCAGGGTCACAGCCTCCCAGAAGTAGTGGTACTTCAAAATGGCTCTTCTGTGTTAATTCTAGCATGAATTAACACAGCATCTTGGAGCAGCACAAATTGTTAAACCCACATGTAATGCAAGAGCTTAGAAACAGAATCTTTCTAAATGACTGCAAAGAGAACTTTCATGGGGCTGTTTTGGGTTTTTTTTTTAAATATAAAAGTTTCCTGGTTTTTCCTCCTTCAGGGATGAAGGCAAATCTCCTGTTTGGGTGCCAGTGTCTAGTCAATGGCTATTAGAGTTAGGAGTAATGGTACTGGAATATAAAATTCAGTTACTTTTACCCTTCTCATTCCTGACCCCTGCATCTCCTGTCAAGACTATCAGTTATCCTGATTGTAATCACTACTACATGATTTGCTTAATTAGTTATAGAACATAGAGACAATCTATGAGGCAACTGGCTGTGTTGGTGCTGAAATTTAGAAGTAGCACAGGAGCCTTGATAATGCAATGTAGGAGTCCTTCCATGACATTTGAGTTCTCTTTCTGAAATAGGCAAGAGCCCAGACACTACCTAAACCAGCAAACTGATGAGCATTGGCCAGTGTACTCCACTAACCACTAAGGCTTTCCCCATGGAAGTTCTGTCTTTATTTCTGGAAGTAAATAAGACAATTTTTCTCCAGATGAGCAAAGAGTAGCAGAGACCCAATGTGCTGAAGGTACTTGCGAGCTGTTTGAAAGGCACCTGTGTGCACTTCTGCTGCTGCATCACTTTCAGCAAAAATCAGAGCAAGGTCTTAACAGTGGGTAAGCTAACCTACAACATTTTGGGGTAATCTGAAGATCAAAACCTGCCTGTAGAATTTTTCTGTACTCACTCCCTAATTTGCACAAATCCAGGATTTGAAACAGTTCCTCTAAGCAAATCCTCTACTGGATTTGCAACATTGCTAAGAGACACTTCCCTGTTAACTCAGAAGCTGCACCTTTATTGTTATGGAAAGAAGGTTCAGGACAATTAAATTACCTGTTTAGGGGGGATTCATTTCCTAAAGTCAGGGGTACTTGAAAATAAGAGAGAAAACATATAATACTGAGCTATAAATTGCTTAACTTTACACTGATAAAGAGTTCATACTTTTCTCAAACAGTGGATAAAGTAGGACTTCAACCAGTTAGGGAATGAGGCAGCAAATAAAACATTTCTGGCCAAATGGACAGGTAAAATTTACTTCAATAAATGGAGCCAATGCTCTACCTAGGGTTGTTGCTGGAAGTTAAGGCACTTTCACATTCATCTGGGACATGACAAGTGTGCTTCTGAGAGTATGAGGAGAGAGTAGGAGGGAAGAAATGCTTCAACTCAATTACAGTTTGCCACATGATTTTCCATCCTAAGGAACTGCCAGTAGCTGTCAACACGGACTTACAGAGCTTGCAGCAGAATCAGAGTTGGCAACCTCCAGTCATGGAGCACCAGAGCTCAGTTCTACTGGAGATGGCACACTGGTGAATTTGCCTTTCCAAGGAAAGAAGTATCTAGAAGGAGAGTGCCTGTATAGTACAAGATCACCATGGTCCTGGCCTTGTACTGCCCCTGAGATTCCTCTAGAAAATACTTCACTCACAGCCCTGTTCACCAAGCTTCCTAACAAACAAACTCCAAATATAATTAGCTCTTGAGGTACTCACAGGATGAAAAGCAGTTTGATGGGCAAAGATACTGAAGTGTGATGCAAAATGAGAAGATGGTGATGAAATTCTGGTCCTCCTCATCCCTCCTGCACAGGGAAAATTACAACAAATAAGCGGAATTAGAAACCAACAAAAAAACAGCGTGTAGGAAGTAAAAGGAACTACAGAAAGAAGTAGAGGAGTGGCAGCTATTCTCCCTGAAGTTGTCATTCTTATTGTGCTCAGTTCTGAAGAGCTATGGTTGACAAGAACACCAGATGGATGTATACCTGTTCCACAGAGTCTGGAGGACATCATCAGTACCTGTGTCTAAACCCAGGTTTTGAGTCTCAGGCCCTGGTCCTCATAGGGGACTTCAGCCACCCTGATATCTCCTGGAAGGACAATGCAGAGAAGGGAAGGCTTGGGCAGGATCTCATCAATGCAATTAAACACCCAGTGGGCAGTGCAAGGAGGATGGAGCCAGGCCCTGTCCCGTGGTGCCCAGTGACAGCACTGGAGCAGTGGGCACACCCTGAAACACAGAAGGCTCCCTCTGAAAAGCAGAGAACACTTCATTAATGTCAAGCTGATTTGAGCACTGGCACAGGTTACCTAGAGAGAGCTGTGGAGTCTCCAGCATTGGAGGTACTCAAACCTCTGAAGATGGTCCTGGGTAGCTCATAGTGGTCCAGCTTGAGGAGGGGTGGGTGGGACCAGATGACTGCCAGAGGTTCCTTCCAGCTTCTGCCTTGCTGCAAAAAGAAACAAAC